TGGATGTCATATCTTTGTTTTTTGAATGTTGAGTTTTAAGCCAGATTTTTCACTCTCCTCTTTCACTTTCATCAAGAGGCTCTTTAGTTCTTTTTTGCTTTCTGCCATAAGGGTGGTATAATCTGCATATCTGAGGTTATTGATATTTCTCCTGGCAATCTTGATTCCAGCTTGTGCTTCATCCAGTCCAGCATTTCGCATGATGTACTCTGCATGTAAGTTAAGTAGCAGGGTAACAATATACAGCCTTGACATACTCCTTTCCCAATTTGGAACCAGTCCATTCTTCCATGTACAAAGCCATCATCTCCAGTGGTTTTCAAAATCTGATTTTAGTAGAAGAGTTTTAAGAAATGTCCCAAGAGGAACTCGGAAATGGGTTAAACCTAAACACATAAGGACCGAGCTGCTGTGGTTTGGCTGGGAGTCCAGTTTAAGTCCTTGGTCTCCTTCCTTTCTGTCTCCTGGGAACAATTACCCTTCCCTGCCCCACCCTCCCCGACCCCACCTGCCAAGGATGACAGTCCATGGAGAACAGTTTGAAAAACACTGGTCTGGTTAACCTCCCATCCAGAGCCTTGTTAAATTGCTTTCAGGGTCAGCCAGATCCCTGCTTCACAAAGCCATCCTTCCTATTGCTAGATGCTTTGATCCTCAGAAAGTTCTTCCTTTTACTGAGATGAGAACTGCTCCCTAAACTTCCATCCACTGTGCCTTATTTTTCCCTCTGGAAGTCTTGCTACGTTCTTTCACATGAAAGTTCATTAAATAAATGTTCATTGAGAGCATCCTCTCTTTTCCAGGCGAAAACCTCATCACATCTTCCAGTAGATTCTCTTGTGACATGGTCACTCCCTGTGGGACATGCTCCGATTTGTCAATGTCTCCTTTAAGATGAGACTCCTGGAAGAGACCACGGCTCCAGACAGGATCTGGCCTGGGCGGTGTGCATGAGGGCCTCCCCTTGATCTGGACATTAAGCCTCAATTAGTGCAGTGTGGGATTACATTAGCTCCCTTGGCAGTCACTCTCCAGTCTCTTCATACTGAATCTGCTGTCTATGAAACTCCCTCTGTTTCACATTAATTGCTATTAAGTGAATTCTTTCCCATCCTGTGCTCTTGCCAGTTGACATTTCTTAATGTAGCCTGGACTTTACTTTTAGCTCCTCAGTATTTCATCCTGTTGGTTTTAGTCCAGTCATGAAAAATATTATAAAATCTTGATTCTGCTTCTCAATGGCTATTACTTCCCAGCCTTAGTTGCCTTGGATTTTAGAGTTAATTTTGTACATTGGGAAGACTGCTAACATTTATCTGGAGCTTAGGTGAGAGGTGGAGGTGAGAGACATTTTTTTTTAAACTTCCATTTATTGAGTACACTATCTTATTTAATCTTTCATCTTTATACTAGTCTGGTGGACAGAGATATTAACACTGCATGTTACAAAGGAGGAAACTAAGGGGAAGGGAGGAAAATGAAGATCTTCATTATAAGTCTCAGTGACTACTGGTTTTGCAGCTGCTTCTATGCACACAAGTTACAGAAGCTCCACTCTGTGGTCTTAGGGGAAGGTTTGGGCTCAGCTATGGCTGAAAGGCTGTGGACTAAAGGAAGATGAGAAGAAAAAATAACTCTGGGGTCCTTCTTCAGAGAGTGACATCTCACTAGCCTTTTGAAGAAAATGAAGTCAAACATAAGAATGGATGAAAACTGAAAACAGGTGGAAAAAATGAAGAATTATAAAATAAAATTTATTGAGCATATAATGCTATAAAATGTGACTTGGTCATATGGGTGTTTCAGTTACATGATCTTGAATCTGCATTTGTGGCTTTATCAGGCTGATAGAATTTTTCCCCTTGTCTTTTTAGATTCTGTGGGAGGAAGTGATGATTAAGTGAAGGATTATCCCCATGTCACCCTACTTTAATTGATCTGCACAGCATTTATGACCACATAATACTTTTCTTATTTACTTATTTCTCTCCACTGAAATGTAAGCTCCATAAAAGCAGGGTCCTGTCTGCCTTGTTCTCCTCTGTATCCCTATTACCTAGAATAGTGCTGGGCACATACTAAGTGTTTAAAATGAATGAATCTAAATATAACAGACAACACCTAGCATTTTAAAAAGACTATTTAAAAACAATGTATTAAAATGCTGAGTAAGGCTCACCCTGCACTCACCCTGGATGTAGATGTAGGCACATTGTTTAAATTTTAAGAAAATACTGCTAGTATCCTTCCAGGGCCAAGTCAAAGCTACTTTGGATAAATTAAAAAATATATACTGCCCTCTGGAGAAGGAAATGGCAACCCACTCCAGTATTCTTGCCTGGAAAAGTCCATGGACAGAGGAGCCTGGCGGGCTGCAGTCCATGGGGTTACATGACTGAGCATGTGTGCACGAGGGTGGAGGGAGATGGGTTGGTAGCAATAAAGTGGTAGAACTAAATATATATATATATATATATATATATATATATATATACACACATACTGCCCTCTGATGGTAGTGGGGGTTTTAGTTTTAATTTTAGCAGCACTAGCTGGACCTCCTAGTTCCCTTAGAGTCAAACTATGGTTTTGGGGAGTGGCAGAGCCAAGGTGCCTCTCTCTATATATAGCCACAGGCCTATACAATACAAAATATGTTTGTTATTCATATTCAAGACAATTCTCCTAGCTAGTACTCCTAACTATCCCTACCCTCCCAACCAGATTGCTGCCCCCAGCCCTCTTATTCTGAAGTCCCACTGGTCAATTAGGCAGTGCGAGGGTGGGTCTGCTCAGAGATGGGGGCAGAAAGATAGTGACACCACTTGCTTGCTTGAGCCTGCTGGGCTCAAGAGGGGTGACCCAAAGAGGGACCCAAAGAGGGGTAACCCCTCATATGGCAATTGTTTTTTTAGTTGTCTAACTTCTTAACTTGGCCTCTTTTGTTTTTGCCTCAAACTTTCCACTTTTTCCCGCCTCCTGTTTAGACTCATCTCATAGGTGGAAATGTCAAATTTGAAAGTTTAAAAAAGATCAGCCCATTATATCAAAAGCATGCCTCAAAAGATATTCTAAAAATATGTTAATCCTTTTATCATATGGGCTATCAGATGTCAAAGTATAATATTCAAAATTTCAAAAACATAATTCTCATAACCAATATAAAATGAAGATATGCTAACACTTATTAAACTCATTGATGAAGGGCACCACTAAGGTGGTAAAGCTGGTTCCAAAAATGTTTTGAGGGACTAAGTGTTTATAAGTTTCACAGAAAATGTTAGGATAAGATGGCTAGGTTAGAGGATACAAAAGTGTTTAATGTCCTATAGGCAAATAAACCTATAGGTTATCTTCTCTACTGGACAGAAATTTTCAGGTTAATAGTGTCTGGGTTCTAATCAAATAATAAACCTCAAACACAGATACATTGTCCTAGAAAATTAAACAATTTTTAGAAAAGTTTTTAAACAATGCTATAGTATAATATTGCAAAAACATTTGGCTCTCATGTTTTGCCTTATTTTAAGCTTTGGATAATTTTTCATAACACAAGTTTTTCGTATATGTATAAAGTTTATATGTATTTCTCATGTTAGTCTTTTCCCTGTTTTGGAGTGTGTTATTTTTCAAATATTAAACAGTGGATATGAGAGAGAAAAAACGTAAATCTCACAAGATTTCTTTTGTTACTATTTGACAATTTTAATTTCAGGGTGAAAATGTTTGGTATAGAATGGAGGAGAAAGAGGTAAAATGAGAAGAGAGTTTAAAGGTTTTGGATAAAATGAACTTGAGGGTTACATTAGGATTTTAATTTATCCATTTTATTATGGTCCATTATCAGAAATAATGGATGCCTCGAAGTTTCTTTTCGTTGAAGAATCCATCAGACCCCAAATATGAAAATTATGTAGTACCCAGTGTCTAATAACAGGAAAGAGGAACAGTGGAATCAACAAATATTTAATAACCATGATGACAAATGCTTGGCTCTAGTTAAGATTTCCTTTTCAGCATTGAGGCACATGGTAATTTCACTGTCCCAGCTACGTAATGCTACTATTAACAAGGTCAAGATGACAGCCCTGATGGAATTTGCCAACCTAAGTGTTCCTACCAGAAACTGAAAGATTCCTGGATCCATAATCACATGTATCTAGGTTAAGAACAAGGATCATTCATTCAATTTAAAGAAAATCCTGTCTTGAACACACACTACCAATTTTTTGTTTGTTTTGTTTTTATTTTCTTCTGGTGGAACACATATGGGAACTTTTTTCTGACTTAAAAAAAATCAAACACTTTATCACTTTGTCCTCTGTACCTTTTCTCTCCCGCTTTCTAAACATATAATATTAATTCCATCCATTTACATTTTCTTCTTCCAATTATTAATGCAACTGGCCAAAACCATAGTAAGCATTTCATACCCACACAGATGATGTTAGGATCTGGCTGAGTTTCTTCTGCCTGTTGTTCCTTATCAGTCAGAGTTCCCAGCATCTTTCAACATCTGAGCTACTGCTCCTCCAGACTCCTTAGTTTCACAAGGCTTCATAGCTTTTTTGCTTTTGTGGACTTCCGTCTCTATCAGTCTTGGTCTGTAAAGTTCAGATGCTGGATCTCATCATCACTGGGGCTTACTAAACTTCCGAGACCTTTTAACTCAGCATTTCTCTTCTCTAACCTAACTGCTCTATTGTTTTCTCCCAAGAACACCTGTCACAACTTGCCAGACCTTCCCTCTGATGCCACCCTTTCTAGCACTTTTCATTGCTCAGCCCCTCCTGTTTGACGCAGCTTCCCCCAGGCTCCACAGGACTCCACCCAGCCTTAGACTCCAAGGCCCACGGCTTTGTGCTGCCTGTGCCGGTGGCCTACCCCTCCTCAGTCTCCTGTACTTTGCTCTGTCCACCATATCAGTCTCTTCCAGAGATCTTTGGGTCTGTCCTTAAAACACACATTGTCCATACCTGGTCCAGAAATGAAAGAGGCCAATGGAAGAGGTTTGTTCTGTTTTTAACAAGAATTTTGGGCTGGGAAGAAAAAAGAGAAATTCCACTTACATCAGCTTAAAAATGGGGAAATTTGTTATTTCCTTTAACAAAATGTCCAAAGGCAGGACAGGCTCTATTTGCAGTACACCAGGGCTCTGTCTCCATCTTTCTGTGCTTCTCTTTGCTCTGTCCTCATTACTATCAGCATCATCCTCAGGCCGGCCACAAAGTGACTGCAGTTTCCAGGTGTCATTTTCAGATGCAACCGTGTCCAGAGAAACAGACTTCTTTTCTCCAAAAAATGGCGAACGCCTTTCTCTCAGGTCCTTGTAGACCCCCCTTCACCTCTCATTGGCTAGAACTGGGTGAGATGCCCATCTCTAAACCAGTCATTGACAATGAAATGGAATCACTGGAATTTACTGAGAACTAACAGGGTTTGCCTCTAGACCTGAGACTTGTGTGGGAAGGATGATATCTGAACAAACAGTACTGAGCCTCTGCAGGAAATGAAAGAAGTGAGAGGATGTTGAGTAGGTAATCTGCTTTATAACTATATCTTTTACAGTATGAAATGGTGAACCATTGAGAGGACTTTATAGACATAAAGACTAAAGATTTTGAACTTGAATGTTGATTGGTCGTTCAGCCATTAACACTCTTGTAGACTTGACGAGGAGAAGGCAATGGCAACCCACTCCAGTGCTCTTGCCTGGAAAATCCCAGGGACGGAGGAGCCTGGTGGGCTACCGTCTCTGGGGTCGCACAGAGTCGGACACGACTGAAGCGACACAGCAGCAGCAGACTTGAGGAGGAGAAGTTCTTTTGTTAGTTTGTTTCTAGGAGAGAGGAGGTGAGGATAGGGGAGATCCTTTTCGGTTTGTGACCCTTCCATTGTAGGTTTTCATGAAACTTCCCAGGTCTATTTTTTCCACCTCTGTTGACCACATCCAACCTGACCCTTCCATCTGGACAAAGCTCCTTCTTTCTAATAAAATAAGAATTCACATTTTGAGGCAAGACAAGGAAAAATAAAACAATTTTTGACAGATGGTCAAAAAGCACTTGAAAAGATGATTAACATCACAAATTATTAGAGAAATGCAAATCAAAGCTACAATGAAGTATCATACCAGTCAAAACGGACCAGTCTACAGTAAGATTAGAGCCAGATCAGCACTAATGGGGGCTGGGGTTGGGGTTAGATTTATTTAATAAGCTAAATGAGCTAAAATTTGGTTACATACTGTATTAGATAAAGAGAGACAAGGCGATATGTCTTCTTTTAACATGTTGGAGGCTTCTGTGTGTTTACAGACTGCAGAGAAAGCCAGCAGAGAATGAAGCTGAAGATGAGAGACAGAGGCAGAGAGAGAGAAAGAATAATTGACGAAGCCAGCTCAGAAGAGAAGATGGAATGCAGAGCCATCTAGGAAAGCTAATTTCTCTGCAGAGTGGGAATTGAGAGAAAGTGAGGGAAAAATAGTCCCATTTCACTTTTACATTCTGGTATTTGTCTAAAAATTTAAGATAGTGAATATGCATTAGCTTTATAACGTAAAAACACTTAAAAGAACTCAGCAGAAGAATTAGCTTCGAACAAGATACATGGAGGAAAAAACCTGTAACTACTCAGCTCATATGATCTCCCCCTTCTGCCTTAGTTACAGTCCTCTGTTGCACATGTGTTAGTTTTGTTGCTTTGGTTGAACTATGTTAACAACTCAAAGGTAAAAGTTGTGGCTCATTTTGTATTTTTCTAATGCTCTTAATTTAGTGAACATAGGAGATGTGCTCCATAAGTATAAAAAAACCCAAAACATGGCTTGGGAAATGTGAGGCAGAAGACAGTAACATAATCAAAAGATAATTATTTTGATACATATGAAAACTTAGTATATGATGTGTATGCTCAGTCACTCAGTTGTGTCTGACTCTTTGTGATCCCATGGACTCTATCCTGCCAGGTTCCTCCGACCAGAGGATTTTCCTGGTTGAATACTGGAGTGGGTTACCATTTTTTCCTCCAAGGGATCTTCCCAACCCAGGAATCGAGCCCACATCTCTTGTGTCTCCTGTTTTAGTAGGTGGATTCTTTACCACTGCGCCACCTGGGAAGCCCCTAGTATATGATAAAGGATGCATTTCAAGTCAGTGGAGGGAAAGATAGGTAAATCACTAGATAATGGTGTTGGTATTGTTGGATAGGCACCTGGAAAAAAGTAATCTTATATTTTACAGCAAAATTAATTCCTGTTTAGAAAAAATATGGGATTAAAACAAAAGGTCTTGGAGTGAAAAATTCCTTTTTATATATGACACAAAATGCAGAAGCATACAGAAAAATATTGATCAATTGGACTTGAAAAATTCTTTCTGGAAAAAACACATGACAAGGTGGAAATATCTGCAACTCATATCATAGATCATGGACTACTTTCCTTGATAAATAACTTTTTACAAATCCATAAGAAAAAGACCAGTAATCCAACAAAAAAATGAGTGAAGGATGTAACATTTTTTATTTCATTAAAAAAAGGCTTATCTCATAGTGTATGAAGTCACTCAGTCTCACTCATCATAAAAGCAATGCAAATTAAAACAATGGAGATACCACTTTTAAATTATAAAATTGACAAAGATCAAGTTTGATAACTCTTTCGATGAGTGTGTAGGGAAAACAGGTACTCTTATGTACTGCTGATAAATTGCTACAACCTTTCAAAAATATACTCACTGTGCATTGATAAAATACACTCCACCTCAACTCCTACCATTTTTTCTTTTGTTCAATCTATTTTAGCCACACTAGCCTCTTTACTCTTCCTCAAATATATCATGCACACTCCAGCCCTGGGGACCTATGTACATCCCATTCTCCACTACCCCTGATACGCACATCAATTTTTCCTTACCTCCTTCAAGCCTTTGCTCAAATGTCACCTCTTCAGTGAAGCCTTCTCTGAAGTCCCTGTCAAAAACAGCGGCACCCATACCATCATTCTCTTTTCACCCTGTTTTTAACTCGGAGCAGTCATCATATGACATTATTCTATGTATATTTATCGTCTCTCCCCTCCAAGTAGACTGTAGTTTATCAAAGGCTGCACCCTCAGACTCTTGAACAGCAGAGGCTTAGCATGTTGTAAGTGCTCATTAAGTACTGAATGAGTGAACGGAACTCTTTGGCAGACAATCTAGCAGTATCTATTAAAATTCCGGATGCACAAACCCAGCAATTCCCCTCCAGGTGTCATTTACAGTTCTGCAAGATGGGGAATGTAGAAGGTTATTTACTACAGTACTGTTTGTAATAGTGAAAGGGGAAAACAACCCAAAGCCAACTTTTGAAGTAGATCATCTATATCTACACAGTGAAGTAATCGCAGTTAAGGTAGGATCTCCAGCTCTGAAAGTTCTTTTGCTCCCTTTGGCAAATAAACATTTGAGACATGGCCATTTTAAATCCTTGGTGATACCACTATAAGAATGATCTTTTTAATGAGACTTTTAATGTTAAAGAGAGTAGGGATGGACAGGTAGAAAGAGTAATTTTTATAACTTTATTTAATGAGTACTAATTTCCTTGCAGAAAACAGAGGACTTCTACCAATTAAATAATATTCTAATATGAAGAAAGATGTATCTGTACATATATAACCGTGTACAACAAAGATCTTCTCTTTGTAGATACAAACTCATGAATAGGCCTAAACTGGCAGTACTTATGTTCATTTATTATGGGTAGCTTTCCCATTTTATGAACAAGCTTCTTATTTATGAGAAGAGGTTCAGGTTTCAGAATGTCTTGAGCATATATTTCCTGACACTAGGGCAGGGAGAGGGGCCAGAATTCCCCTGCTGTCCATCGAATTATATCCATTTGCAGCCACAGAGCATTCTACAGGAGTTCTCATCTACTCCAGAGTTAAATACATATAAAGACAATATATACAGGATAATCCCCTAGTAATCATCATGTCCTCCAATATTATCACATTATAATTTGCTTACTGTTCCTCAAATAAAATGTTCTAATTCCTATGTCTCTCCAATCCCCCCCAACGTCCCTCTTTTTTTCCCTCCCAATTTCTCTAATCAGGAATCCTATCTAAGCTTCTATCCAAATACTACCATCTCAAGGGCCAGCAAAATACCATTTTGCCACTGAAGGACAAAGTCCTTCCTGACTATTCTATCCTATGGTAATCTAGGTTCTGATCTTCTCCAGCCTTTATCAAGCATTTGGTACTAATATTTTTTCTGCCTAATACCATTAAATTAGCTTTTCACAAGCTTTTGACTTATCTTCCAATTAGACTATAAGTTCCTTAAAGGCAGATCCCTATATTTTGTTTTCCTACATTCCACATGCACCTACATAGTAGATGCTATACATATCCTGGTCTGGAAAAGTAACACTGTCAATCCAAATGTGACCTAATACGTACTGTGTTCTTTACGGATTTTTCTACAACCAAACTATGGTCTTGTATAAATATGCATTTTCTACTACTCAATAATTTGTTTTTTCCAGTTTTTGGTTATCAGAACTCTTCAGCTGACTCTGTGTCCCAGCCACAGGACTGCAGCTGTTCATCCTGTGGAAACTCCACTTCAATATCATAGACAAAATTTGGATCATCCTTCTTCTTCTGATTTTTCTCAAAAAGTTCATCCATGATGCTCTTCCTTTTGGCAAGTTCCTTGTCATCTAGTTTGTTCAGGTCTTCCTCAGGATCAGTGGTTGTTTCCCGTTGAATCTGTTCCATTGTTTCTGCCAGGCTCTGCCCCCACAAGTTACCTCGTAAAAAGCTGAATAACTTCTCTAGCTGCTTCAGTGATACCTGTTCCAGGTAACCCTTGTGTCGTGGATTATTCTTTAATTGTTCAGCAGCTCTGCTGCAATCTAGGATCAAGAAACAGAACTATTATAACACACACAACACCACAGACTACCGAGGCCCCACAAATTACTGAAAGCATTACCTATCATTATAGTCAAGTAGCTAAGTGGCTTTTGGGAATGAATTAAGTTACAGACCTATTTCTTTACATCCAGCTTTGAGTGTGATGGGGGAAGGATCAATATATTTTTTATTTCTGTAACTTAAAATCACTTTGAGGAGACGTTAAGTACTTCCAACTGAAGAAAATGTCTGAGAAGAAAAAGTAGTATTACAGCTTTAGATATTAGAATTGGTACTAAGGAAATATCAATACTACAAATTAAAAAACACATTTGGAGGAGGAGAAGGGAATTAATATTATTGAATAATGCTATCTCATTTAACTCACACAGCTGACCTGAAAGGGTGGGATTATCAATTTCCTTTAACAGATTAGGAAATTGATGCTCACCAAGATTAAGTAATTCAGCCAAATTTACACACCCACCCTAACAGCCATGACTTGAACCTTGGTCTGTTTAACTGAAGGCCATATCACTACATTACATGAGACTCAGATTGTTCTTATAAACTGACTCAGACAGTATTTATGATAAGAGGCAAGATAAAACATAAGATACCTGAATACTTGGAAAAGTTTCGGACTGGCATGATGCGCTGGCGACTTTTCCCCTTCATTTCATTCTCGTAGATTAAGATAATAGCCGGAGGCTGGAACCTAATTCCACATTTTTTGGCAGTGCACATCATTCTCACATACACTTCACGGTAAATCAGAGGAAATCTGATGACAATGTGTTAGTCACATAATGACTTCCTGCTAAAGGGGAAAAAAAGTTAAGTGTTGGGTAAATCACATCCCTCCCTGCTTTTCCTCCCCGGAGGAAATCTGGCTCTAGTCCAGTTCTGGAGATACATGGTCAGTTCAAGCTCAGTATTTCAAGAGCTATCTTGAAAGTTCAGTTTGGCCCTGGGTTATCCTCAATCTGTAGAATCCCTGGTTCATTGAGGGATGTAGGCTGGTTCACACATGAGCCTAAAATGCAATTCAGTTTGGATCTCTTAGTGCACTGTACTTTTAACCAAAGACTGTAGGAACACCTAACTCAGTCCAAGAATCAACTTACAGGATCTTTTTTTGTTTACCAATTAAACAAGTGTGTACAAGCACCCTCAATGTCAAGGTACTAAGAGTTTTTAAAATCTTTTTAATACATTACGTCCTGAGAGGTTCCCCAGACCAGACCTCCCGCTCCCGTACTTCCCCAATCATTCTACTCATTGAGGTGTTTTTTGCTTGCTTGGTTTTTCATTGCACTGGGTCCTCATTGCAGTGTCTGGGCCTCTCTCAGCTGCAGTGCACAGGTATGTAGGAGCTTAAGTTCCCTGACCAGGGAGCAACCTGCAATAGAAGGCAGATTCTTAACCACTGGCAGGGAAGTCCTTCATTGAGTTTCTTGCCTTTTTTTTCCTCATTGAGTTTCTGGTAACTATTTATTTAATCACCTATCTTTCCCCCTTCTATTCTGTATGCTCCCTGAGGGCAGGAAACATGTCTAAAGTTCACCACACTATCCCCAACACAATATCTGGATTAGGTATTCCATGATTTGATTCAGTGTATTAAAAGAAGACACAGTCCCTGTACATTCTCGAAGTGCTGACAGTCTGGAAGTCTGATCAAGAAGGCAGACCTGATGCAGAATCAGCCTTCACATTTTCAAGGCAATAAAGCTTATATGGCTTTTATTTCAACTTATTTGTCTCACTACATGATGTTTTTTCACTTACAAGAAAAAGTCATTTTAAAGGTTAATATTTTTCATTCCCTCTTCCCTGCTCTCAATGCAAAAATATACTTAATTATAGGGAATGCTTTAGATGTGACTATGGTATTCTCAGGAAGATTTGCAAATGTCAAAGAACCTAGAGGTAAAGTAGCGAAGGGATTATACCTTCATAAATTCAGTTCTGCCAGAGAATCACAGTAGAAACAGGGTTACTTAACAGATGTTTATTGTAGGGTTGGGAGGGGGAGGAAGAAACATATAAAATAATAAGCATCCCTGAGTCCTTCCAGTCTTTTTTCTAGGCATAGTTTTAGTATGTTTTTGTATTGATACATACTATTTCCTGCCTTTTAAATTTTTAAGAAATTTATTTTGCTGAAGTATAGTGGATTTACAATGTTGTGTTAATTTCTACTATATAGCAAAGTGACTCAGTTATAAACATACATACACATATACATTCTTTTTTATATTCTTTTCCATTATTGTTTATCACAGGATATTGAATATAGTTCCTTGTGCTATACAGTAGGACCTTATTATCCATTCTATACATGACAGTTTGCATCTGCTAATCTCAAACTCCCAATCACCCCTCCCCCAAACCCCCTCCCTCTTCGCAACCACAAATTTGTTCTCTATGTCTATGAGTCTGTTTCTGTTTTGTAGATAAGTTCATTTGTGTCATACTTTAGATTTCACATACACTGTATTATATGGTGTTTGTCTTTCTCTTTCTTTCTTTCTTTTTTTTTTTGTCGTCTTTCTCTTTCTTATTTCACTTAGTATGGTAATCTCTAGGTCCATCCATGTTGCTTCAAATGGCATTATTTCATTCTTTTCTATGTCCTGTCTTTTAAATTTAACAACCCATGTAATTTTGTCTTTAAATGCAAACTTAATATCTTTCTAAAATGCAAACTTATATTATGACTGCAAATGTTTTGTTCTATGGATATACCATAATCTATATTATTCAGCTCTTACTGTTGGACTGAGAATTTTTACTCTTAGGAAATGGATCATATATAAAGAACAGCTTTGTCAAATTATTGCGTTCTGTCTCTGATTTGATGCAGTGATCCCATCCCACCCCTTCCCTTCTTTCTTCTTTTCCTTCTCCTCCTCCTTCTCCATCTCTTTCCTTCCCTTCATTTTTTTAAAAACAAATACTTCTCCAAGTTTGCCTCAGTAAAATTTGTTAGTAAACTTTCTAGAAGATCCTAGTGAGCACAATATACATTCCACACACTCACGTGACTGTATTAATAAATAATGCATGCAAGTGATGCTCAATAATGAAGTTTTATGACTACACTCTTCTTTCTTTTTAAAATTTAAACTTTTATTTTTGCTAAAGTATTGTTTCTGTTCTGTTTAAAATGTAATATAATTTTATGAGGCTCATAACAAAGAACTTGCCGTCCTGTCCCCGTCCCCTTTCCATAGGTAATCAATTTCAATTCTTTTAAATGTTTCTTCCAAAATCTATCTCTATATTTCTTAACAGCATGCTTATATTGCTATATTGAATTTTAGGTAGTATCCAGGTGGCACTAGTTGTAAAGAACCTGCCTGCCAATGCCGAAGACACAGGAGACACGGGTTCGATCCCTGGGTCGGGAAGATCCCCTGGAGAAGGAAATGGCAACCCACCCCAGTATTCTTGCTTGGAGAGTCCCATGGACAGAGGAAGCTGACGGGCTACAGTCCATTGGATCGCAGAGTCGGACACGACTGAAGCCATTGAGTTCTGACATCTCTCGTCTTTAAGACATCCATCCTAGGGCCCTCCGTTCTGCTCCAATCTGCACCTGATACTCTCCAGGTCTGCTTACATATTCAATTCATGAAGACAGATGACACATTTACCACGTTTTTCTCCTAGACATTAATACTTTCCTCCCCAGGGATCAATGACTGGTATATCTTGCCAAAGATCGCCCACAGCGTCTAAGAATGTACGGATTTTGCCGTCAGGTAGACGATCCTCTCCCTATCCATGCCCCCCACTAGTGTAAGGCTGACTTTCTTACCCATAGAGAAGTACAGAAAATGCATCTTCTGCAGGTCAATGTCTAAAACCTGTCCACCAACCGTAGTGCACCTAGGAGCACTTAATTTCACCTTAAGGCCAGGCAAAGCCTGGCGCTGCAGAAAAAGACGACAGCCAGCTTCGCAGACGTAACTGTAGGGTGAATTCTCCGGCAGGAAGATCGCATCGGCAAATACCTGGAAGTGGAGGAGAATGCCAGGAGCTCGGCTAGGCGGTTCCCAGGACAGCGTGCGGGGTTCGGTGTCAAACTCGGGGTCCACGGAGCTGTCCCCAGAGCAACTGCTCTAGTGCACGTCACTGCGCTTGCGCCATTCCTCGCTCCGCCCCCGACCGTGATGGCGGGGGGCGGGGCGACTAAGGTGCTGGTGACGGCCTACCGCTACCCCGGAACGTTTAGGGGCGGGGAGCCGGGAAACTACAGGACCGCAGGCGTGCGCGCAGCGAATCTTCCTTCTGGGTCCCAAACTCCGTGACAGTGCGCTCTAGGAGCGGTGTGAACCTTGTGCACGTTCCTCCGATAGCATTTTATCCCCGCGTGCTCTTCTGGGGCGCGCGTTCTCCGGCGACCTGGCTACCCCAGCGGTGGCCGTCAGGGCAGTGGCCTGGCTGCTTCTCTGGGAGGCGGCTGGGTTCACCTGCTCGCCAGCCACAACATTCAACAACACCCGCGTCGTCGCCGGTAAGGGGCGGAGCTGGGCCTTGGGAGTGGGGCGGGGTTAAGGTCTGAGACGGTGGGGAGCACTCGAAGTTCCCGAGACCTCTTACTTCCTCGCTTTGCAAACGTGCTTCTCGCGACCCTAGAACTGTAGGGTGAGTAGAAGGAGTTTAAAAACAAAGGCTGCAAGTTCCTGCACCTCCCACCGCCTCCGCCCTCATTCTTTGTGACCAGTCCTGGTTCTCTGGAGAGGCAGGCTTTGTCTTTCTGAGGAGGGACTGGCAGCACTATTACTAAAACGTTGTGAAGTACAGCCGTGAAACATTTTGGGGTGCTCTTGGGATGCGAAGCTTCTGACCACTGCGGGACCAACAAAGCCTAAGTGCCCTGTGAGGTGTGAGAACCGCAATCTAGAATACCTACACTCGGGGAGCGTGGAAAGGGGAGGACGACTAATTTTGTTTTACAAATATGTTTGATAATAAACTGGATTGGGTTAGGGTTTCTTTATGACTCCGGGCTGGGTGAGTGAGTCGCTTCACTTCTTTGTGCTCAAGTTCGTGGGCAGAAGTGCTGTGCTAGGTGCTGTGAATCCAGCCATCGTGGAGCTTGCAATGTAGTAGGTGAGATGGGTAAGTGCAGTAGTAGTTACAATAAAGTGATAACGTTTGGTAGGGAAGGAAAAGTCAGTCCACACACGCCAGGAAAACCAGTACGGAAACTGTCTTTAAAATCAGGATATTAGATTAGTACCTGTCAATCAGTGCAGTTCTGCTTTTGTGTGTTTATATATTAGGTTCTCAAATTTATTTGAAGAAGAAATTATTAGGCCAAAAATAATTTTCAAACAACTGGGCTTATTGATAACTAAAGACTTTACAGCAATTTGTAAAGGGGGTCAATTTCCAGAGCCAATTCAGGCCACAAAAACCAAGTAAAGTAAAATTTAAGAGTAAAAATCTTAAGTGAATTCAGATGCAACAAATTCATTTTGAAAATGATACCTTTGCCTTAAAAATCATAATCTAGTATCTAGTATTTGCTATACTGTTTGTAAATTAGCTTTTCTATCATCCCAAGATAAATGAAATTTACCATTTTCTATACTCCATAGAATTTAAGCCTGTTAATCTGACCTTTTTTCTAATTAAATTTATAGGCAGATATAAACCCTTCCCCCACCTCTGTTAAAATTAAATATTGAAGAAATGTCTGAATTTTTACAAGAGATATTCTGTAAGTTATTTGTTTGGGAAAGGATGATATATGCTTCTCCAAAGTAATTAAGGATTTTGTTAAATAGCAAGAAGAGCTGAAATACCTTAGGCTTTAAAAGTCAGGCAAATCTTACTTCTAATCAGTGACTTACCTAGTTGTATGACCTAGACAGTTACTATTTATGTCAGAGTTTACTCCTGTGTTGGAGAAGGAAATGGCAACCCACTCCAGTATTCTTGCCTGGAAAATCCCATGGACAGAGGAGCCTGGTAGGCTACAGTCCATTGGGTCACAGAGAGTCGGACACGACTGGGTGGCTTCACTTTGCTCCTGTGTACAAATGGCAGTAATTTTGCTGACCTGTTTCTCTAGATCATGAAAGTTAAAATACATGTGAAAACCCCAAGTAGAGAATCTGTCATATAAGTATTATTTAATAAATGTTATCTTTCATAGTTTCCCCCTTCCTTCCCTCTCTGGTATATTTCAAATGTTTCCTTTCCACTTCATTTTTTGGGGGTCTTCTCAGGAATACATCTAATGGAATTCATAACATACAATAGTGTATGATTTTTCTGCATGTTTGTTTTAATGTTCTCACACATTTCCAGCTTTTCAAAATGGAGTAAATTTCCATAGCAAGGTGCCTGGGCTGATTTGGTAATCATTAGTAGCTGAATTTTTAAATTTTATGAAATTGACACTGAGTAACAGTTTTAATGTCTAAATTCTGCATGGAGTCAGATTAGTGAAATTTCGGGTTATTCTAAGTTTATAAAAGAACCCTTTGAACCTTTGAAAAGCCTCCAGTTTTTGTTTTTTCTTTAAACCCTCTCAGCGTCTATACAGTGCATAAATGTACCTTCTTCTTTTTTCTACTTGTGGATGATAGAATGTAGAAGTTGCCAATTTGTATCTGATACTCAGTTTCAGTGAGCTGGATTAAAATTGAGGTTTCCTGGCTCTTTTGCCATTCTGTTCTTTTTGATGTCCAGTGATCACCTGAATAAAGTAATATAAATAACAAACACTTAGAGTGGGTGCTCTGTGGTGGACCCTGTTCCCAGTGCTTCCACATATATTAAATTCTCATGACAACTAGCAGAGAAACTATCTTCTTCAATGTCACACAGCTATTAAGTGACAGACTGTTGTTTGAAATTAGCCAACCTAACACCAGAGTCAAGGCTTTTAACCCCTATGTTACACTAGAAATAGGTTTATATGTAGCACAAATTGCTTAAGTTTTAAGGGTGTTTGTTTTGTTTTAGGTTGGTTAGATTTTCCAATCAATTAAAGTCTATTCAAATAATTATTTTCTAATTATTTAAATATTCTTTCATTGAATGCTTATTTTATTTAAAAAAATCTTTTCATTCTTATAGGTATAAGGGCCACTTGTTCTGAAATTATTTTGAGACAAGAAGTTTTGAAAGATGGTTTCCACAGGTAAGTTGCCCATTGACTTATATGAAAATACAATTTCATGTAATTTAAAACCAAAAATTGATAGCTGAAAAATGGATAAACTGAAAAAAATCACTTGGATTCTTAAAGTTATAACTGACAGATAAGCAGTTCATAGTTTGAAACAATGATTAAAATAACAGTGGAGAAGAGGAGAAAACAAACATTTATTATTTACTGTACATATCTATTATTTATTTATATAGACAGAAGCTATGTATACATATTCCATTTAATCTTCACAATGGTTGTAAGGTAGATGATACCTTTCTTGTATTTCAGATGAGGGAACTAGGGCTCAGGGACTTTTAAGTAGAATTTAGAGTGGTAGAGCTCTGATAGAAATTTAGGATTATCATACTCCAAAGCCATAGTCTCATGTACTAAGATACCACCCTAAATCACTATTTCTGATTTACAAAACTTGGTTCCAAAGACCAAACTATTTCCAAAATAGAAACTATTCTCAAAATGAATATTGCCAATATTGAAGATATTTAAAAGACTGGTAAAAAGTTGTGGAAGCTGTTCCATAAGAGATTCCCAAACTTTAAGGCTTCTCAGAGTGGTTACTTTGAAATTATTCTCAGGTATTTGATTTATGAATTCTGATACATTTATTTTTTAAATCCCTTCATTCACCTTAAACTAAAACACCTCACTCTCACTCTTCAACTTTAGGCTACATGTGAATGGCTAGGAGGTGTAGTAGAAAGAACTTGGTTTTTCTCTTTGTTTGCTTGTTTTTAATTCAAATAAATTTGGTCTAACAATGTAGCTCTGTTATTTAGTATATGTGTACCCTTAGTCAAGTTACTTAAATCTTTGTTACCTTACTGATGAAATTAGATAATGAAATTATTTCCTTATTAGGGTTGTGAGGTTTAGATCAGAGAATATGTGGCAAGTTCCTTAATGTAGTGCTTGTCACATAGCATATACTCAGGAAATGTTAGCTTTTATTATTAGTAATTGAGATAGGTGATCAATTTGGGCAATATTGTTTCAAAGAAGAGATGTAACTATAAAGTATAAAACTGTTTTTGGGAGAGAATTCACTTCTGAAAGGAAGTTTTTGATAGAGTTCCAGATACATTTTAAGCAATATCGGGGTGATTATGCCAAGTATATATAAATTCTTTCTTTAACATAATTGGGATGTATCTTCAAGAGGAATGAGAGATAACTGATTCTAGAAAGGAAGAAAGAAGTGCCTGAAGAGACTTTCAGGACAACAAAAGTAGCTGTCCATTTCCAAGTACTGAGGTACTTAGTACTAAGTACTTTAAAAAGCAGTAATTAAAAAGTAATTTAAATTTTCTAAGTACTTTAAAAAGCAGTATTAAAAGCAATAACGAAGAGTGACAGAACCCACGAGAATAGCTTCAGAAACTAGAAATCTCAGTTATTTGAGACCTTCAGAAAATGCCAACAATCGTGTTTTTTTAAAAAAAGGCTCTTTTTGGTTTTGTTTTTAGTTTTTAGCAGGTATTGTCTTGCTGTGAGGGTGGATGAGGAAATATTAACATATTATAGAAGGTAGAATTTATGGTCCCTCTTATTTCTGTCTTCTTGGTCAAGACTTATTCCCACTTTGGAAAGTTCAAGCAGTTATTAGTAGTAACAAATTGTATAAAAAGGCCTTTATGACTGTAAATTAATTTAGAGTCTCCCCTCTCTGATGAATTATATCTCTTTGAAGTAGGAGAACTTGCTTAAACTATTGCTGAACTTGTTTATAATCTTTGGTTAATCTGGAAGTTAGTTAGTTGTTCTGGATTCTGGGCAGAATTCTAGGCCAGATTACTAAAACGGTGGTTTGTGAGCACAGGATAGAAACTGTTGGTCTCTGGGAACTGTATTCTGGCCTGGAGAATTCCATGTACTTATAGTCCATGGGGTCGCAAAGAGTTGGACATGACTGAGCGACTTTCATTTTCTATTTCTATTATAGAGTTACTGGATAAGTGGATCAGAGGATACTATAGTTGTAGTATATTTGATATTCTACAAGTCTTTTGGTGAAATTTATGTGTTCTATTTGTGAGCAAAATTAAGAATGTGAACTGGAAGGTAATACAGGTGAATAACTTTATAAAGATTAACTAATACATCCAACATGTTTTGGTTGGTTGATTGGTTGAATGTCATCTTGGAAGGAGGTCCTGAAGATCTCTTGTCTTTTAAAATATATGTTTTCTCTGATGATAAGATGTTGCGTGTTCACTGTTGTTCAGCCGGTAAGTCGTGTCCAGCTCTTTACTACCCCATGGACTGCAGCATGCCAGGCTTCCCTGTCCTTAACTATCTCCTGAGTTTGCTCAAACTCATATGTCCATTGAGTTGGTGATACCATCCAACTTTCTCATTCTCAGCTGCCCCCCTCTCCTTCTGCCCCCAATCTTTCCCAGTAAAATATTAAAACAGCCCTTTCCTTTCAAAGGGGGAGAAAAGGAAAAAATTTAACTGTTTTAGTAACTATACATTTGCATACTTTTAAGCAGCTCTTTAAGTATTACAGAAGAGTAATAAACATGGTTGGATGACATCACTAATTCAATGGACATGAGTTTGAGCAAACTCCGGAAGATAGTGAGCAACAGGGAAACCTGGAGCACTATAGTTCATGGGGTTGCAAAGAGTAGGACACGACTTAGCAACTGAACAACAGGGAAACTACAATGTATTACCCTATTTACAGCACAGCTGAAGATGGACTTTAAAATAAGTTTGAATGTTCGTAATTGTTGGTGTATTGACTATTATGTCCAGTGGGGGCAAAAGCTCCTTCTCTGCCACTAAACAACAAAACATATGTAATGCCTAGCAGTGATTAAACAGAATCACAGCCACCTGATTTATTTCAGTTTTGTTGATAAGCTCATATGTCTGAGGGGACACGATTCATTAAATGCTCTTATCATTTTTCATATTCCTAAAACAAGATGGGTTTACATTTTATTTTTCATTTAAAAAATAATAGGTCTGGCTATAGTTTATATGCTATTGATGTTCATTTTTTCTCCTGGAAGATACAGGACTATTTTCTTTGGAATAATTTGTTAAAATGTGGAACATACACTTTAAATATAGATACTAGGAAAAATTACTGTTAGCCTGAATATTGTGGCTAAGTATAAGTATCTTTAGAGAGTGTTCCAGATCTTTTTCATAGAACTGTGGATTCTGGTTCCCTGTGGGTCCAGTCACTTGTCTATATCTCTGGTGATGCGAAATGATTCCCCCTAATGTGCCAGTGAAATAGATGAACACACAGCTCTCATTCTCTCCATCTGTTTCTGAAATATTAGTCAGGGACACATGCATGTTATTAAAAATGAAGTTCAAAACACTTAAAATAATTCTGTATTAGAAACTTGACTCTATTATAAGCCATACTAAACTTGTTTAATGCTCCAGTTCCCCTGCTACCATTTAGAAAGCGGAAGAACAGTCTACCTGCCACTGACCGCTGGTTGACTGTAATGGGTTCAGTAAGGTTTGCTGCTCTTGCTCTGGCAGAATTTGGTCCTGGATTCTGTAGTTCATTCCGTGGCAACTTTTTAGCTATTACTGTGAATATTTTATTTACATTCATTGTTGTTCGAGGTGATGTCTTTATGAATACCTTGTCATTTGCATAGGACTGCGCTTCCTGGAAATCTCAGCCCATTTTTTCTAGGTCGACCTACTTTCCTGGTAAAGTTATGACAGTGTTAGGACTCACTTCTCTCTGAAGTAATTTAACCTAGTTTTTTGTTCTTTCAAAGGACTCCTCATTTGCAATATCACATGCAACTAATCGCTGCTGGTACTCCTCTGTAGTAATTGTTGCTAGGCTGTGATAATCATTCTTGACCAGTTGTATCCCATGTCCCATATTTCATGCAGCTTAGAAAAACAGCCTTAGTGGTACTCTCTTGAAATTCATGAAGTTGGTCCTTCACAAAATGAAGCACCAGACTTGATTTGCCAAGAGCAGGCTCTCCCAGAAATACTAGTTTGAACTGGCATATTTTATTTCCAGTATTGACCCCTTGGGTTTTGTTGCTCCTTGATTAACCATGTTCAGATTTGAAAGAAGTGCCTTATTTCAGTCTTTTACATCAATTCCCAGGTTGCAGGGTGTCAGTTTTTCTTTCTGGAGGTAAGGAAACCTGAGACCATACATGCAGGTCTGTGGAACCAAGGCTACCTGGCAGCAGATCCCAGGCATAGTCTGAAGGACAAGAGAGGCTGAGGCTGTGGCTTGGAGGAGGCCGTATCTCCTCCTGTTGATTCCCAATTTAATGCCAAGTTGTTAAGAGACCATATTCTGCTTGATTTCAGTTCTTAAACTTTTAGAGACTTCTTTTAATGCTCATCATATAGTTTTTCTTATGCACTTAGAATGTTCTATTACTATAATTGTCAGTTAGATCAACTAACTTAAAGGTGGTTCATGTTTTCTGTATCTTTACTGATTTTCTCTCTACTTGCTCTATCCATTACTGAGAGAAGGGTATCAAAATCTTTTGCTGTAATTGTGGATTTGTCTGTTTATCCTTATAGTGCTACCAGTTTTTATTTTGATGTAAAATACAGGAATCTTTGAAGCTCTGTTATTGGGTGCTCAAAGTTATATTTTATTATTGCTATATTTTATATATAAATTATTGTTATATTTTATTTTCTTGTTATATTTTCTTGATGATTGACCCTTTTATTTTTCTGTGATGTTATTCTTTATCCATGGCAATATTCCTTGTCCTAAAGTCTTCTTTTTCAGTATTAATATAGCCACTCTATAGTATTGTTATTAATATTTGCATACATTTTTCCATCCTTCTACTTTTATCTGTGTTTATATTTGCCATTTCTTGTAGACAGCATATAGTTAAGTGTTGCTATTTCATCCAATCTGTCAGTCTCTATATTTTAACTGGAGTGATTAGACTATATACTTTTAATGTTAATATAGATTTGGTTGGCTTGGTTTAAATTTACCCATCTTGCTACTTCTTTTCTATATTTTTTTCTATTTGTATCATCTAATCTTTTTTCTTGCCTTTTTTTGGATAAATGGAATATTTTTTGATCATTCCATTTTATCTCCATTTTTGACTTATTAACTATACTTCTCTCTTTTTAAAAAATTAGTTGTTTTAGGGCTTGCAACTTTAACTTATCACAAATTACCTTCAGATAATACTGTTTCATACCATGAATAATGCATGAATCTTATAGCAGAATAGTTCATTTCTTTCTCTTCTCCTTTATGCTATTCTTGCCATACGTTAATTAACTTTATGCTTTTTTGCTTATGTTACAAACCTGCCATATATTGTTGTTACTTTTGCTCTGATCAGTCATATATTTTTTACACTCTTATTTATTTTAATTGTGGTAAAATACCTGTAACATAAAATATGCTGTCCTAACTGTTTTAAATTGTACACTTTAGTGGCATTAAGGACATTCCCATTGTTGTGTTACCATTATTACTAACTATCCATAGACCGCTCTTCATCTTACAAAACTGAAATCTGTACCTCTTAACAGTAACTCCTCGTCCCCATCCCCCAACCACCTGCCCCTGGCAACTGCCATTCTACTTTCTATCTCAGTGGGATCTCTGCTGAACTCTTTGGTTTCTATCCTTTGATTGGTGGAATGCAGTGTCTTTGTGAAATTTCAGAATTTCTTATCTTTCAGTTCCTTGGTAATTCCTTGTCCAGTCTTGTGGAGTTACATATTACTCATGTTTATTTTAGTATTCAATAAAAATTTAAGGGGACTCCAATTCAGACTTTTAGAACTCTTTGTCCAAAGATCTTTCCTTTCTGGAGCATAGTGCTGTGACTTCTATCTGCTTAAGCCTCCCCTATCTTCTATCCCTGTTTTCTCACTTAAGCAAAACCATCGTGCTTTGGACCTCCTTCTCTGCACTTGGTCCAAAATAAGCCTCCAGAGAGAAAGCTGAGACAATTCTACATTTAAGTTTATAACCTATTTTAGATTAATATTTGTAGTATGGTATGAGGTAGAGGTCACAGTTCAGTTTTTTCTATATAGGTACACAGTTGTTTTAGCACTGTTTGTTGAAAAGATAATGTTTTCTCCACCAAATTATATTGACACCTTTATTTTTTAAAACTGTGTATCTGTTTCTGGACTCCATCCTTTCCCATTGATGTTTGTCTGTTTTTACACTAATACTATACTGTGACTATGACATGAATTTATGAAAGATATAATGAGTGATTCTGACGTGATGTAAATATTTCATTTGACTTTATGATCTTTTGAAAAACTAATTTAAAATATAATATTTGTACTAATTTGAATTTAAGTTTGTTATATTAGCTTGTTTAAAAATTGAATGAATTCTTAAGAAAAAAAAATTGAATGACGATATTTACTTAAAACATACTTGTCTTACAGAGACCTGTTAACAAAAGTGAAATTTGGAGAAAGCATTGAGGACTTACAGACCTGTCGACTCTTAATTAAACAGTACATCCCAACAGGACTTTTTGTGGATCCATATGAGTTGGCTTCATTACGAGAGAGAAACATAACAGAGGTACAACTGTTAGAGGGTTTTTTTGAGAGGGAAATTATTGTAGGAATGCTGTAATTGAATTAAGGCAAAGTAGATAAAATGTAGTATTTTTAAATTCATTTTGTTGAGTGTATATAAAAGATAGGATGGGAGTATTCTTTAAAAAGTGAGTGAAACTTGTCATACTTGTCTGTAATAAGTTAGCTAAAGTGACATTTATATTAAAGTTTGTCTTTGAAAAGATTAGTTGTTAATAAATACTGCTTCAACAACAACTTTGTTAAAATTTGACATATATTGCAACATCTGTATAATTTGGGTATAGGAGGAAAGGAAACAAATATTTATTGGGTATCTATATAGCAGGTATTTTTTTTTTTAAGGAAGCAAGATAAAATTAAGCATTGTAAGAAAGATTATGTCCCACACCCTTTACATAGATTAATCATTATAGCATCCTTGGAAAGATTCCATTTTCTAGATAACAGGCACAAAGTGTCCAAATAACTTATCCCAAATCACATAGGTAAATGGAAAAGCCAAGAAGTGAATCTAGGATTGTCTAATTGCAAAGTTGCTTTTCTTTTGGGAAATTAATCTTAGTTAAGAGTTTGCCTAACTTTGACAAGAATCACCAGGGGGTATTTTTGATGCAGATTATTGTCTTTCTGAGAAAGCTTGATTCAGCAAATCATATTGGATCCCCAAATCTGTTAATGACTGAAGTGATTCCTATTAAGAAATTTTGGGAAACTGTTTTAGTTCATTCTATATATGAATTTGAAAAAGGCAAAATAGCACTTGGGTACTCTTGGAGTCATTTAGGATGGTGGTTTATTTCTAATTGTGATTTAGTCCAATTTCTTCACCTGTTTTATTTACATTTGTTTTTGAGTAGGTAGTTATATCCTCATGGTTTATAATTCAGGGAGTATAAAAAGTATACAATGCTAAGCTTTCACCTATTTTAACCCCTAGTTACCATTTCTTCCTGTTTGTGTCTGTATGTGAGTTTAGGTACACATGTTCACATATATGGAAGTTTAGATACATATGTGGGAAGATTCCTTTTTTTTTCATTTGTTTCCTTTTTTCACTGAGCATGAATTCTGAATGAGGCTTTTTCATTTTTACACAATATGTTTTGGGAATTCCCTGGCAGTACGGTGGTTAGGACTCCACACTTTCACTGCAAGGGCCCAGTTTCAGTCCCTGGTCTGGGGATTAAGATCCTGCAAGCTGAATGGTACAGCCAAAAAAGGGTACATTTCAAATTTAAATACAGTTCTTGGCTTGTACTGACATGGATTGGAATCATATTTAAATTTACTTAATAAAATGATCTACCATGTTTTAAGAAAGTGGAATGTTTTTATGCACAGGTACCCAAAAAGAGGTCACATGCCCACATACCCATACCTATGGTTGGGATGAGATAGGGTTGTGTGCAGGTTGACTATAATGAGAAAATAAGGTGGGTAAACAGTCCCGCTATAGATTGCTTGACAGGTTTCTCTTTATCTTGATTTTCTGCTTCCTAATTCTCTAATATCTAATTACAAATCTTTTAAGTGAATTTACTTTTTCATTTTTGAAGCTTCTAGAAAAATAGATGTCTTGTTTGTATAATTAGAAGTTGATTTCCTGATATATTAGATGCTGTTTCCTTCTGCCTAGCTGAGTTGAGCCTGTGGCCCCAATTCTTTGTGCAGAGAAACTTTGTCATGAGATATGGTATTATTTGGTGAGTTTAACTAGATAGAAGAGAATTTATACATAAGGAAGGATTGTTGCTTATATATCTTGACTCTGTTAGATAAGACAAAATTTTTGGCTGTATGGGTGATAGGGCAACAAAATGTTTTTAAAGGAGTTTATGATAGCTTCTGAGTAATTGGAAAATAAAAACAAGTCTTAACTAGTTTCATTGTAGATTTTTAATCAAAATCTCTCACATTCTTTGGAAACGGCATAATATTAGATTGAAACATAAGAAATTGATATTTTATAGGTCAAAATGGAAGTGTTTTTGAAATTGCAAGTTTTACTCAGTGAAAATGTGTTAGGACTTCTGCCTTGGCCAAGTTGAAGAACAGGGAACACATTTGCTTTCTACTTGAAACAACCAAGAAATAAACAAAATGTAAGAAAGAATGGAAAAAATAATTGAATATCAAGCAGTGAAATCTTAGAGATGAGAAATAAATAAGGTTAGCCCTTCAGTTGTCCTAGTGTATTACATGAAGAGTTCAGACTAGTACAGGGAGGGTGAACCTAAGTAGAGCCTGGTGGACTTCTTGAGTTAAGGAGATAAAGGTAAGATTTGGGAAAGACCAAAGTCACTAGAAGTGCTTTCCAGGTGACACTAATTGTAAAGAACCCACCTGCCAGTGCAGGAAACATAAGAGATGCAGGTTTGATCCCTGGGTTGGGAAGATTCCCTGGAGGAGGGCGTGGCATGGCAACCTACTCCAGTATTCTTGTCTGGAGAATCCTATGAACAGTCCATAGGGTTGCACAGAGTCAGACACGACTGAAGTGACTTAGCATGCATGTACACGGAGTCACTAGAATTCACAGTGTATCAGAGAAGAGAGAACTGCATAGAGACAAATTCCAGAGATCCACAGAGGTTCCCCTGAATGCATAGTCGAGTATTAATTAACGCATGCATGTGAGGAAACTGCTTGATGCTGGGAAAAGAACTATATGAAAAAATTAGAGGTAATAGTGTCTCACACAGGTCTAGTTGTGGTACCTGTTCCCACCAACCAGACTGGGAAAATCCTTGTAATTCACTAGGCTTTGGATAGAGTAAACAGAAGAACTCAGTAGTGGGGAATACTAAGCCCTAGAGTGAACATTAGTCCAGTCCTACCTAACAAATTTCAAAACCAAGGCCTTGCAAAAATCAGACAGTTGCAAGTAACCTTACAGCATTACAAACAAAGCTCAAGAATAGTAATTGGAATGCAGAAATATCTAGTACCCAACAGGATCAAAATGTCTTGACTCTAATCAAAGTTTTGCAAGGATGCAAGGATGTGGGAAAATATGACCTGTAATGAGGAGGTAAATGATTCAGTCAATGCTGATCATAGCTGTATTCCTTATGTTCAGAAACGTAAATAGAGAAATGGAAGATACTTGAAAGGACAGTTGACCTTTTAAAAATTAAGACTACAAAGTATGAGATGGAAAATATTCTGGATGGAATTAATGGCAGATCAATGCAGAAGAAAAGATTAATGAACTTGAAATCATAGCAATAGAAACTACCAAAAATATAAAACAGATAAAGAAAAGAAATGTAAAAAGTGAGTAGAACATTAGTGAGTTGTGGAACAACTTCATGCGACCTACCGTAAGTCTAATTGGGTTATTTCTAAGAGATACCTGCATCCTCACGTTCATTACAGCATTATTTACAATAGCCATGATATGGAAGCAACCTAAGCATACATCAATAGGTGAATGGACAAAGAAAATGTGAGATACATATTTTTGAAACTGAGATATGTATAACTGTGTATATATTTGTGTATATTTGTTTATATATGTGTATATACACATGTATATATATACCCATACACAGAGACACACATAATGGAATGTTACGCAAATATTAAAAGAAAGAAGAAATTCTGCCATTTGCAACAAAACACATGAGCTTTGAAAGTGTTATGCTGGGTAAAGTAAGTCAAAGAAAGACAAATACTGTATGATCTCACTTATATGGGGAATATAAGAAAAACTGAACTCAGAAACAGAGAGCAGATTGGTCATTGCCAGGGGTGAGAATGTAGGAGAAATGGGTGAAGGCAGCCAGAAAGTACAAACTTCTAGTTATAAGATGAGTTAAGTTCTGAAAATTTCATGTATAGCATGGTGACTGTAGTTAACAAACTGTATTGCTAAGAGAGTTTACCTTAAATGTTCTCACCATACACACACACAGAAAGGTAACTGTATGAGGTGATGGACATTTTAACCAACGTTATTATGGTAATTATTTTTCAAAATATACATATATCAGATCTTCATGTTATATACCTTAAACCTATACAATGTTATATGTCATATCTCAATAAAGCTGAGCAGGGGAGGTGTAACGGAAATCCCCAAGGAGAGATGAAAGAGATGGAGATGGAAAAAAGTATTTGAAGAAATAATGGCTGAGAAAATTTCAGATTTGATGGAAACTACAAACCCACATATCTACGATGCTCAAGTGCAAGAAATATGAAAGAAACTATATCAAGGTACAAGATAAAATTGTTTAAAACAATGATAATGAGAAAATCTTAAAAGCATCAAGATGAAAAAAAAAAACACATAAAATACAGAGGACCAAAGGTAAGAATAGCAGCAGATTTCTTGTCAAACATAATGCAAACAAGAAAATGGAGCAGCAGCATCTTTAAAATATAGAAAGAAAAAAAAAAACTATGAATTTAGAATTCTTTATACAGTGAAAATACCTTTCAAGGTGAAGGTGAAATAAAGACTTTTTCAGACATAAAGGTTGAAAGAATTCATCACCATCCAACCTCCAATACCAGAAATGTTAGAAGAGATCCTTCAGGCAGAAGGAAAATGATACCAGATGAAATCTGTATCTACACCAAGGAAAGAAGAACACTTGAAATGATAACTACATGAGTAAAAATAAGATTTTTTTTCCCCATATTATGTGAATTTTTCCAAGATAATTGACAAAAAATAACAACAATGTAGTGTAGCATCCATACCATGTCTAAGAATAAAACGTATGATAGCACTACCACAAGGGTGGGAGGTAAAAAGTGAAATACAGTTTAGTAAGGTTGTTGCACTAAATGTAAGGTAGTTTAATGTCACTTGAAAGTAGACTGATACAGTAAAGATGTTTACTATAAACTCTGAAGTAACTGCAAAAATAACAGAGTTGTAGTTAATATGCCAGCACAGCAGATTAAATGGAGCTATAAAAAAATTCAGTCTATTAGAGAGAAGGCAGAGAAAGAAGATAAAGGGAACAAAAAATAAAGATACAGAGAACAAGATGAATTAACCTTAACCATATTAATAATCATATTAAATGTAAATGTCTGAATATCTCCATTAAAAGGCTGAGATTTTCAGATTGGATAAGAAATCAAGATCTAACTGTATATTGCATATAAGAAATTAACTTTAACTTTTAAAACAAAAGATAAGATATGCTCACACTGCTCAAAGGAAAGCTGATGTGGTTATATTAATATTAGGCAAAGGGATTCAAGTGCAAAGATTGTCACAAGTGCTAAAGACTATCACCATTTTGATAAAGGGATCAACTAATCAGCAGGAGATAATAATTCTAAGCATTTATGTCACTAATATATTCAAAATGCAAAGAAAAATTGGTAGAACTGTAAGGTGGAATAGATGAATACACACTTATAGTTGGAGATTTCAGTACCCTTCTCTTAATAATTGATGTAATAAGTAGACAGAAAGTTGGTAAGGATATCAAAGATTTGGACAAAACTATGAACCAACTCCCTGACCTAATTGGCATTTATGGATCATTCCACCCAACAGCAGTGGAATACATGTTCTTTAAAAGTATACATGCAGTATTTATCAAGGTAGATCATTCTAGGCTATAAAACAAGCCTCAATAAATTTAGAATTCAAGTCTTACAAAGAATATTCTTGACTGCTAAGGAACTAAATTAGAAATAAAGAATAGAAAGATCTTTAGAAAATCTTCAAATATTTGGAAACTAATTAACACACTTCTAAGTAATCCACGGGTCAAAAGAAGAAATCAGAAGGGAAATAAAGTATTTTGAACTGAATGAAAATGAAAACATAACATACCAGAAGTAGTGGGATACTGCTAAAGCTGTGTTTAGAGGGAAATTTGTAGCACTAAAATTCCTATTTAAAAGACGATCTCAATTAACGTTTTCAGCTAAGCCTTCTTAATCTATGATGAGCACGTGAAACCACCGTAGAAGGATGGAAAAAATGAAGGTCACAGCAGAAATTAATGAACTAGAAAACAGACACACAGTAGGGAAAGCTGGTGAAACCAGAAACTTGTAGTTTATGATGGATAAAACTGATAAACTCTTTAGCCAGACTGATTAGAAAAAAATATGTACTGTTAGAATTAGCATCCCGGGGCTTCCCTGATGGTACTGTGGTTAAGAGTCTACCTGCCAATGCAGAGGACACAGATTCAATCCCTAGTCCAGGAAGATCCCACACGCCTAAGAGCAACTAACCCCGTGCATCACAGCTACTGAAGCTCGAGCTCTAGAGCCCCCAGGCTGCAACAAGAAGCCGCCACAATGATAAGCCCACTTACTGCAGCGAATAGTAGCCACCACTCTCTGCAACAAGAGAAAAATAGCACACAGCGATGAAGACAGCGTGACCAAAAATAAAAATACATAAATAAGTAATTAAAAAGAATTAACATCCCAGTGTCAGAGAAGTATTTATTGTTATACATTTCATTTTTATAGTTTTACAATTTTAGATTGTATAAGTTATTCAAAGATACCAATTACTGTGTCTTAATTGGGAAATGTTTTAGATTTTTTTGTTGTTGTTTTGAATTTTTTTGATAGAGCTCTAGTCTAGGGGAGAAAGATCTGTTGAGTGTTACAGTTAGGGTACAAAAATTTTATTGCTTAATTCATTTAACTTTGCTAAGGTGGTTTTTGATATGTGTAGTTTAGTGTTGTCATGAAAAAGTATAGGTCCATGTCTGTTAACCAGTGGGTCTTAGTTGCAGCATGAGAACTCTTAGTTGCGGCATGTGGGATCCAGTTCCTTGACCAGGGATTGAACCCTGGCCCCCTGCATTCGGAGCACTGAGTCTTAGCCACTGGGCCACCAGGGAAGTCCCTAAGGCTGATTTTTGAGATTCAGATACCCAGAATAAAAGTTTTTGAACCATCACCAAATAACCCTTTGACTAATAGAGCCCTCTCTGAAGGCCAAAATGCCATTTAGAGCAGTTTGCCTCCTTTTCATTATATTCTAGTTTAAATTCATGTTAAAAATATTCTCAAGTTTTGGGAAGTTTCCATATTTTTATTTCTATGGAAAATAGTAAACAAAAACTCATTAATTAGAGAAGCTGAAGATCATAATGCCATCATAAATTCTAAATAGCACAATCAGGAATATACTTTGTGTTAGTTCTACTTATTAATTTTCAACTAGAAAAATATTGGTTATCTTATTTAACCTAATTGAATAGGGGAATCTCTTTGACCTGGCTTTGAATCTTGTTTCTTCTTCTTACTAGCTACTATATTGTTTATCCACCCTGATACTTTGTTTAGACATTTATATAATAACAGGCCTAAGAGTTCCTCTCTGATAGGGATCTTGTGAAAATTAAAGAAGCGAATGTATATAAACCACTGAGCTTAATTGGTACTCAAAGAAAGTTACCTTTATTATTACATGGTCATTCTATACATCTTTGTTGACAAGATAGAAAATATGTGTTATTTTGATTTATATCTAGTTGTATGCAAAGAGAGTGCATTAATAAACTTCTAGCAGAAGGTCTCTAGTAAAATTTCTTAGGGATTTGCTGTTGTAATCTTCTTGGTCAACATTTTTATACTTAGATAAAAATATAGAAGATATAGTTATCAAGTTCATAAATGTTATATAAATGGTTGACAGATTGGGATTTCAGTTAAATCTCAACAGCCTGGAAAAAAATGGACAATAGCCAGAAAGATAAAATTTAATAGAGATAAATATAAGTCCCTGGTTTTAATTTGTGAAAAGTTAATTACTTGAAAAAATTGAATGGGAGTTACTTAAAAGGTTTCTGCAAAAAGTTCAAATGAATATTATAAGGATGAATAGGCAGAGCACTGGGTCATTGAAACTATCCAGTATGATACGTGTCATTTTATATTTGCCAAAATCCATAGGCTATACAACATAAAGAGTGAACCCTAACTTAAACTATAGACTGTAGTTAATAATCTATCAATATTAGCTTAATGGATTGTAACAAATGTACCAAACTGATTTTAATAATAGAGAAAACTGTGAGTGTGTTTGGGAGGGATGGGGAGTATGTGGGAATGCTTTATTTTCTGCTCAATTTTTCTGTACCTAAAATTGCTCCAAAAAAATGAAGTCTATTAGTTTTAAAAAATAATACATATATATATATCACACTGAAATGAGGCTGCTAAAAAGTTAATGCAATTTTTAAACCTAGAAACTGAAAAAACGTAATTTTTGCTAAAGAAGATAGTATTGCTACTATTTTCTCTTGAGTATTTCAAAAGGCAACTGATATGATGAATGGTTTGGAAAACCGTGTCTTGAGAAACCCAGAAAACTGTACATATTTCTTTGGGGAGGAGAAAACATATGGAGGAAAGTGGTTGCCTTCTAAGTTGTGAGGGACCCTTAGTAAAACAAATAACATATTTTTTGCAAATATTGTAAGCATGGACAATTGGTGAATTATTATGGGTCAGAGAATCAACTTTCTACTAATAAAAAGGGAATAAATTTAACAGTACATTAAATGAGATGACTTAAAATAATGAACTTCCTTCCAATCATTGAAAGCATTAAAACAGTGGCTGGGTATTTGAAAAATACTTTAATTGGAACAATGGTTTAAATTAATCACTTCTCAAGTTCCTCATGAGTCATAAGATTATAATTCTTTGACCTTTGCTAGTAAATTCTGTTACTCCTGTGATGAACTGGGAAGAAACAGCATGTGAAAATACAGCACTTGGTGTCACTGTCAAATAGAAGAATTAGGATGCTAGCTCTGGTGGGTAGAAATTAATGCTGGTTTTTTTCTCCTTGTGTAAGTGAATCTGAAGAAAACTTGCATGTGTGTATGCATACACACATACATATTATGTATATAATGTTCATATACGTGTGTGTGTATGTGTGGTTTTATAAATAAATATGTATATATGGATACATTTATAAAGTATGACTAATTTCTGTCACGACTGCATTTTTACTTTTGGCATAAAACACTTATTTTAAAATGTTTCTTTACCATATTATTTTTTAAAAGAATCGTTAAAAATGGTAACGACCATTTTTTCCATTAACTTTGTATCCAAAAAAGAGTGCTGACCTTTGCTTTGACTTCCTGCCCACAGTGCTCTATCTTACTCACTACCATCTTACTTTGCTTCTTTGAAGAACAGGAAATTACCAGAGTGATACCTATCATTTTAACCCAATACTGGGTTAACTGTTTTTTTATCATAGTTTTCATGCTTATTGAATCAATGCTGTATTTATTCCTGAAGTTTCTTTTCTTGGTACCTGTTTTGTTACCAAAGCAAAGGTTGATAAGGAAATTACATAGAAATTTTTATTATGGGGAAATTTCACACCTCAGAGTATAATTTCCTCAGTTTACTTTTAATAAGCTTCTATTAAACACAGATCACATCTTGTGTTTTCTACTTAAAACTGAGAATGGAAGAGGAATGAAAATTGTTTATAAGGGGTGGTGTGTTTCACATTTTTGTTCATCTGTATAGTAGTCTTCTGGTTTTGTTTTTTTACATCTTCCTCATTCATTTCTTCTGGACTAATATTTGTATTCTTTTTGACAGGCAGTGATGGTTTCAGAAAATTTTAATATAGAGGCTCCCAACTATTTGTCCAAGGAATCTGAAGTTCTCATTTATGCTAGACAAGATTCACAGTGCATTGATTGTTTCCAGGCTTTTTTGCCTGTGCACTATCGCTATCATCGGCCACATAGTAAAGATGGAGAAACGTTTATTGTGGTCCATAACCCTGACTTATTGATGTATTGTGACCAAGGTAAGGGTTACAAATCTTTCTGGAGAGTTGAAAATAAAAGTAAAGGTATGGTGGTAAGTCAGGGACAGTGATAACAAAGGCATGATTCTTTTTTCTTTCTGTTAAACTTTTTGATTGTAAAATAAAGCACTGATATAGAAAAACTTCACAAATATATAGTTTAGGGAATTATTAAAGGGGAAATAGCCATGCAACTACCACCCAGGTCAAGAAACAGAACTTTGGAAAAAAAAAAAAAGAAAGAACTTTGCCAGTCAATGTAGCAGCAGCCCCACAGGTCCTGTTCCAGTCTCCTTTCCTATAAGAGTAACCCACTCTCCTCACTTTTAATCACTTCCTTATGTTTCTTTTAAACTTCTATCACTCAAGTGGGCATTCTTAGACACGATAGCTCAGTCTTGCCCGTTAAGAAAATGTTATTTCTGTTAAGTCTATTAATTACAGATTTCCCCTCTATTTCATTCTTTAAAGAAAATTTTATCTGTTGAAGAACCAGGGTTATTTGAGACCCTGTCATTGTTGAGGTTTGGATGACTATGCTCATTAGTTCATGTCTTCTTCATTACTTGGAAATTGGTAGCTAGTTTGAGAGGTGTGATCAGATTCAGGTTTGATTCTTTTGGTAAGACTATAGGTGGTGCTGTGTGCTTTTATGAGTGGGCATATAATGTGTGTTTCTTTTATCAGCCAGTGATACCTCTGCTGCTTTCTGTTTCTTCATACTGATACTGCAGAATTGCATACTGATATTGTAGCTGTTCGTGCTTTGTGTCCACTTGCATGTATTTTATGGATACTTTATCACCTAGTTTTGTTGTAAAAGTTGTCTTCGAGTTACTGGTTTTGTGTAGAATTGTTCTCCTTTTATGTGTGGATTTCAGCAAATTAAAAAACTGCTCTCATCATTTTCACTCTTCCTAGAATCAAAACTTTAGGAAGTCCCTTTCAGATTTTGGTTCTTTGTATCTCCAAATTGGGGCTGATTAAAATGTTTACTGAATTCAGTAGCACTGTTACTAAAGACTGACAGGAAGTTTTTAATCACACATTTGCTGTCATCATCTGTTTCATGATGAGAAAAGTAAAAAAGTATTCAACTGTGTTAACTTTGTTTATCCAACCTAGTTTACTGTTTCTTTTAATGGTTACCTTTTACTTACCCTAAAGTTTGGAAAGGTGCCCCCTCCCAAGAGAGCATTTGGGGTTCTGGAATTGTTCATTTTTTTGGTCTGAGAGTTCTTTCCATGGCTGTATTTTGTCTATGGAAATTTATCTAGTTGTAGATTTATGATCTGTTCATTTTTCTGAGATACGTTATACTTCAGGAACAGTTTAAGTTAAAAAAAATGGCCCATAGTGTAGTGGGATTTGTTAAGAAGTCATGCTCAACTTCTTCACAGTCTTTGCAGTTTTATAGTTTTCTAGGCATCCGCTTAGAACAGGCTGTTAAAATAAAACAGCATATGATAGCTGAGTCCAAATCATGTACATTGTGTATTAAAATGTTTGAACACTCATATCCCAACATGAAAGACTGGCTTGGCTTCTAGTCCAGATACAGGTTTTCTGATATGATTTTCTACCACTTTTTCTCAGAGTTTCCAGTCTTGAAGTGCTGGGCTCAGTCAAAGGTGACAGCTCCTTGTGCTTTGAACAGTAAGGATATCTGCCAATGGAACAATATGAAATATAAATCAGTAAGTTAATCTTTTGGAGAAGGAAATGGCAACCCACTCCAGTATTCTTGCCTGGAGAATCCCATGGACAGAGGAGCCTGGTTGGGTACACACTATGGGGTCACAACTTAGCGACTAAACAACAACAACAACAAAGTTAATATTTTATGTTATTTTAGGTCATGCGTCCTCATATAAAACTCCTTCTGTAATGTTTCTGCCACATTTAAGGGATGATAATCTTATATTCTACTGTAGGAAGCTGTTTTGTATTTGTTTTTAAAGTTGTTTCTTTGTTACTGTTGGCAATAGTCATAGAATCATTTAATTTGCAGGCATGGAGATTGAAAGTTAGTCCCGTGCCTCATTGATCCAGGGCTAAGTGTAGTTGATGTGCTTTTTTTTTTTTTTTTTTTTTTGATGTGCTTTTTAGAAGTGTGAAATGGCAAAAAAAAGCCAAAAAAAAAAACACCCCACAGTGGTGTGTCCATCTGATTTTATTTAATCAGTAAAACTTCACTATATTTAGAACTTTTTATTAATTTTTAAGCAACAAAATGAAATAGTTAACTTCATTATATTACATAGAACAAGTGAACAAAGGAAAGTAAAACTATAAAGTTGTATCATTTCAACTGTGATTAAGTTTCTAGACAGTAATATTGTTATTATAAATGTAAATCTAGGCTGATGCAGGCGATTTTTAGAGTTTTAACCTCCAAACTTGTTTTCAGTTATTAAATTGAGTAAGTATTAGTAGCTCATTAACACTGACTTGGTCAGAAGTAGAGACACAGATATAGAGAATGGGTGTATGGATACCAGGGGTGGGTATTAGAGAGGGTGGGATAAATTGGGAGATTGGGATTGACATATATATATATACTACTATGTACAGATAACTAATGAGGGCCTCTTACATAGCACAGGGAACTTAATGAGTCTGATTCTGTTACATTAACTGAAATGTTGAATCTAAAAGAATCATTCAGATAGTGTTACATGTAGTATAGCAATGGCGAAAGGTATTTAAAAGAAAAAAGATGACCCAGAGGGATGGGATGGGGAGGGAGGTGGGAGTGGGGTTCAGGATGGGGAACACATGTAAATCCATGGCTGATTCATGTCAATGTATGGCAAAAACCACTGCAATAATGTAAAGTAATTAGCCTCTAACTAATAAAAATAAATGAAAAAAAAAGATTACAAAAAAGAAGAGAAAGTTAAGTTAAAAATCAAAGAAGTAGTGGTTTCATGTTAGGAGGATGATCGTAAATGTATCTAATTTCTCTGTCTCTCTCCCAAGGTATACAAGAATTTGACTCTACAAGTTCCAGTGGGACTGACCATACATACCTTTTTAGTATGTTCTGTGACTCTGCTCATTACCATCCTGTGTTCTACTTTGATCCTTGTGGCTGTTTTCAAATATGGCCATTTTTCCCTATGAATTTTATGTAGTTAAATAATTTCCATAAACCTAAATAAGACCTATTCATTTGTGACGAGAAGTGTTCTTCTAGAATGATGTCATTACTTTTGCCTTTTGTCTTCATTTATGGCTAATATTATGTTTACTAGAGGAAATTCTGGATCATTCTCAACTAATTTCAAAATTCAGTGCTGTATTGTGTAGACCTCTAATAATCCTCAAGCATCAGGGGCCAATATGGGAAACTTAATTCTGTTAAATTAATATTATTTATGAGAAGTGACTTAATCTTCATTTCGGTTATAAATAAATACTTTATTAGAGACAAATTATTGCTGAAAATTGAGAAAATTATTATGACTAAGACTAATTTGGACGAATCAGAGTTTATTTAAATGTTAGTTTTATAAGAATATTAATTTATGCAGTTTCAAATAAAATCATTAAAGTAGGACTTCTAAGAAATTAATATCAAAATTGATTATTCCTTGAAGCTTTTCCATTCTCTTTTTATAATACTGCTTTTGAATATATGAATTGGCAAAGGATTGATGGAGTTAAGTACTAATACTAAAAATTATATTTTATGAAGTTGTATAGTTAACAAAAGTTTTTGAATCTTCAGGTGATTTTTTTTTTAAGAACAGAAGGTCTTGGTTTATTGTTTTTCTTTGGAAGAAATTAGAAAATAAAGCAAATGCATAAGCTAATTAAGAAATAAAAGGGCAAGCATCTTCCAAAACAGAAGCCAATAAACTAGGGTATGTTTTGTATAGCATAATGGGATATGATATACTTTATATATGCTATCACTGGTTAATTTCCTAAAACATTCTGGTATTTTTTTAATGGGAATAAATATTTTCTAATTTGTCATGTTAACATGTTTTCCAGGTATTTTTTTCTCAGTGGGATTAATATAGTGGCATTTAAATAGAAATTTATATATTAGTTAAAATTCAGTACCATTAACACCATTTTGGAATACGGTTAGTCAGGTGGGGGACACGGTACTGTTAACCTCTTAAGTGTGTTTCTATGTATGTGTATGTATGTAATAGTCATTTTCTTTTGCACATCAAAGCCAAGTTCCTCAGTATTTAAGTGTTTTCATTTCAGTTAATATTTGAAATGGTGGCTAGGGATATGATTCAGCCATTTTTTCATTTATATGGATATTCAGAAGTGTAACAAAGTGTGAATGTGAGTGAAGACACTTTACTATGAGTTTTTTTGTCTGATAAATGCTGGCAGATGATATCACTTTGATGCAACAGAGCATTTTGAAATTTTTATATTGTCTTCTTTGGATTACTTAAAAAGTGACTATCACTTTACTTTTTAAATCAGTTTCTCAAAGAAAACAGGTACTATTCTCCTGGTCATTGTGTTCCAGTATTGTTCCACTTGTATGGTTTATTTTCTTAAAAGTGAAGTGAAGTCGCTCAGTCGTGTCCAGTGCGACCCCATGGACTGTAGCCTACCAGGATCCTCAGTCCTTGGGATTTTCCAGGCAAGAATACTGGAGTGGGTTGCCATTTCCTTCTCCAGGGGATCTTCCCAACCTAGGGATTGAACCCGGGTCTCCCGCATTGTAGGCAGATGCTTTACCATCTAAGCTCCCAGGGAATAAAGTATCATGTAATGTTCTCTGGGTGAAAATAACAAAGATTACCTCAACTAAGTGTGGTGGTGTGGTAGAGATTGTTTTGTGTGTGTGTGCCTTTCAGCCACTCTAGTAGGGACTTAGATTATTTGGTTAGATCTAATGGAGGATAGTACATTCATGACTTGGGAACTGAGAAGATTTATTTCTGCTGTAATGATTTCAGAATGTAATGAATTTAAGGATTACTCTAGGCAAATAGTCTATTCATCTCATGTTACTCATCTGTATTTTGATGATTGGTGCTAATTGATAATGATGTGAAGATAAAGGATGTAAGGTGAAGTGACTAACACCTATCTGTGCATGCATGCTCGGTCATGTCCCACTCATTGCAGCCCCATAGAGCCTGCCAGGCTCCACTGTCCATGGGATTTCCCAGGCAAGAATACTGGAGTGGGTTGCCATTTCCCTCTCCAGGGGATCTTCCTGACCCAGGGATTGAACCCTAATTTCCTGCATCTCCTGCCTTGGCAGGCAGATTCTTTACCACTGTGCCACCTGGGAAGCCGCACACCTATCTGTATTATCCATCAAATTTATATACTACCAGCAGGTAGTTGAATATAAGATGTGGTAGGCTGTGAGAGAGTGAAAAAATATAGAGGATTGTCCTAGTCTGTGATGTATTAGTAGGTTTAACTATCTATCTGATTTCTTGCACCTTACTTCTGGGATTACCTTCCTCCTGAAGTGTATCTTTTTAAGATGTTCCTTTAGTAGGTCTCTGTGGTTTGTAACATCTCTGTGGTTTGTGATATCTCTGTTTTTACTTGATGATATATTTATTTCACCCTCACTTTCGTCACTAATAATTTAACAATGTATGTACTTCTAAGTTCAGCTACTTTCTTTTGGTAGTTTGAAAATATTTTTCCATTGTCAGATGGCACACACTGTTGCAGTTGAGAAATCTATGCTAAATTTAACAGTTGTTTCTTTGCGGGGGATGTCTTTTCTTTCTGGGTTCTTTATCTTTGTTATTCTGCAGTTTCACTTTGATGTGTTTGAGATTTCCTTTACTTGTTTGGGATTTACTTTGCTTCCTGAATCTGAAGGGTCTTGTCGTTACTCAATTCTGGAAAATTCCAAGCCATTATCTCATCGTATACTGCTTCTTTTGTTTTTTCTTTTTTTCCCTCTATGCATACGGTATACCTGCACAATCTATCCCCATGTCTCTCAACTTTCCTTTCATATTTCGTTTCTCTTTGGGTTGCCATCAGTAATTTCTTTAGATCCGTCTTTCAGTGTATTAATTCTCCCTTTAACTGTGTGTGATCTACTATGTAATCCAAACATTGGCTTTGGTTTTAGTTATATTTTTTATTTCTAGAAGTTTTACTTGACTTCTTGACTTACTTGACTTGAGGTTTCCTGGACAGTGTAGGTACTATAAATTTGAACTTTCAGACCTATGTGAGGGAAAATTTGTGGCTATGAATTCTAAAGGAAAAGCTTTTTTCCCCTTGATGCCAAAATCCAGGCTAAAATATTTCCACATATTGGCCTGGGTTGGTACAGGGGATTTTTTTCTCCTACTCTATTCTCAGAAGGTATAGTCCTCTGAATTTTCCAGCCTTGTGCAGGATTATAGTCCCAGCTCTTTCTACAGGCTCATAGCTTTGTCTTTGGTCTCTTGTCTCCTGGGCATCCAGGAAAACCATAGAGATTTGGGGTAAGTAGGATCTTTCAACACAACGCAACACAACACAACACAAAACACAACAGGCTTCGTTGACTTGGTTACTACTTTGGTTTCTTGCTCCTCCTCTGGGTTGAATGTGAAGTTTGGAAACCCATCAGAGGTATTTCTCTCTCTGTTTTAATTAGAGGATGACTGCTTTATAATATTGTTTTGACTTCTGCCATGTATAAACATGAATCAGCCACAGGTATATACATGTTCCCTCCCTCCTAAACCCTGCTCCTATCTCCCACCCCATACTACCCCTCTAGTTGTCACAGAGCACAGAGATCAAATTGCCAACATCCTCTGGATCATTGAAAAAGCAAGAGAGTTCCAGAAAAACATCTATTTCTGCTTTATTAACTATGCCAAAGCCTTTGTGTGGATCACAATAAACTATGGAAAATTCTGAAAGAGATGGGAATACCAGACCACCTGACCTGCTTCTTGAGAAACCTGTATGCAGATCAGGAAGCAATAGTTAGAACTAGACATGGAACAACAGACTGGTTCCAAATAGGAAAAGGAGTACGTCAAGGCTGTATATTATCACCCTGCTTATTTAACTTATATGCAGACTACATCATGAGAAACGCTGGGCTGGATGAAGCACAAGCTGGAATCAAGATTGCCAGGAGAACTATCAATAACCTCAGATATGCAGATGACACCACCCTTATGGCAGAAAGTGAAGAAGAACTAAAGAGCCTCTTGAAAGTGAAAGAGGAGAGTGAAAAAGTTGGCTTAAAGCTTAACATTCAGAAAACAAAGATCATGGCATCTGGTCCCATCACTTCATGGCAAATAGATGGGGAAACAGTGGAAACAGTGGCTGACTTTATTTTTCTGGGCTCCAAAATCACTGCAGATGGTGATTGTAGCCATGAAATTAAAAGACGCTTACTCCTTGGAAGGAAAGTTATGACCAACCTAGACAGCATATTAAAAAGCAGAGACATTACTTTGTCAACAAAGGTCCATCTAGTTAAGGCTCTGGTTTTTCCAGTGGTCATGTATGGATGTGAGAGTTGGACTATAAAGAGAATTGAGTGCTGAAGAATTGATGCTTCTGAACTGTGGTGTTGGAGAAGGCTCTTGAGAGTCCCTTGGACTGCAAGGAGATCTAACCAGTCTATCCTAAAGGAAATCAGTCCTGGGTGTTCATTGGAAGGACTGATGCTGAAGCTGAAACTCCAATACTTTGGCCACCTGATGCAAAGAGCTGACTCATTTGAAAAGACCCCAATGCTGGGAAAGATTGAGGGCAGGAGGAGAATGGGAGGACAAAGGATGATATGGTTGGACGGCATCACCAACTCTATGGACATGAGTTTGAGCAAGTTCCAGGAATTGGTGATGGACAGGGAGGCCTGGCATGCTGTAGTCCATGGGGTTGCAAAGTGTCAGACATCACTGAGCGACTGAACTGAACAGAATGAATACATTGAGAAACTCCTCTGTAGATAAAACATAGAGGCCTTAATTTGCAAGGAGGTGGGCCTTAATTAGCACCAAAATACATTGAGTTGTAGGCATAAAGCAAAATGGATAGTGGATGAATTCTCAGAAACACATGTCCTGGAGCAGGTTCATGTAACAAAAATAGTCTTTCAGCATCTTTGGTTGGCACAGACCTGACTGGAGACAATGCTGAACTACATGAGATACTGGCGGTCTCTCTCAATATAGAGAATACCCCCCCAAAAAAAGCAAGTGGGAGAGAGACGTGGAACACATCTCTAAACTACAACTCCCGGCAGGCCCCGCATGAACTCGCCCACTGGGAGGTGGTACCCGTCTCCGCCCAGTGGAGCTCGGGCTTCGGTCCCGCCCCTCTCCGGTCCCCGCCGTCGCCCTCCCCCAGGGTTGTGGCCACGCGCAGCAGCGGTGGTTGTTCCGCTTCCCCTCTGGCCTGGGCCGTCGCCATTGCCGAAGGCTCCCTGCCCTCCCCTCCCGGCGCCCGCGGGGCTCGGCTGCCGCCTGGCCTAGCAGTAGCAGCGGCTGCGCTCCAGCGCGGCCCCCTCTTCCCGCCCCGCTTCCCCTTCCCTCCCCTCCCCGCCCCGCGTCGCGCGCTTGCTCGGGGCGGCTCCGGAGCCCGCCGGGAGCTCGGCCGGAGGCTCCTCGCTGGGGCGGGGACCTTTCCTCGCCTAGGGTAAGTGTGCCGACAGGCCGGGACGCGGGCCGTCGTTCTCATTCCTCCTCGCTTCTACGCGGCCTGGCCGGCGCGAGCGGCCCGGGGCAGCTGACCTGCCCCGCGCGGGCCCGGGAAGCCGCCACCTGCGTGCCTGGAGCCGCAACTCTTGGGGCGGTGGCTCATTGTCTGCGCCCTCGGGCTGTTTTCTTCTCCGGCTCTAGCCTGAAATGGGAAGCTTGCTGGGCTGGTGAGATCTAACTCTTCCTGGACCCGGCCCTGCCCTGAACCCTGTCGCGCCACCGTCTCTGCCCTCTGTTGATCTTCCTTACGTCGCGTTTCAGCCGCCTTTTCTTCATTTACTTTAGTGTTCGACGAAACGTTTCGGGTTTTATTCCTTGAGTTTTCGTCTCTTACAGAGTCCCAGCTCCTCCTTATCTCTGGTCATCACAGTTTCTTTACCGAGGCACATTGTCTGGAGCCGCTCATTCTTTTCTAAACTGCAATCTGTGATCTCTTCCATATTCCGCATCGGTAGAAAACGAATAGTTTTCCGAGGGTTTGAGGGCCTCCGTTCAAAAACAGAACTTTCGGGTCTTCTCGTGATTCCTGTTGGATCATCAGCCAGGAGGTGAATATTTGCTTCTTTAGGTAACTTAGTTGAAGGTTGACTTTCACCATGTTTGGCTTTCTTTAAAACAACACATACACAGAGAACGTTGTCGAATATTCCTCAGTGGGCTCAACCTTTTGACTCATTCTTTAAAGATAGAGTCATCCAAGAGCTGAAGAGTGGAAAGCAATTGCCGTTGTCGTCAGTTGTTGTAGGGTTGTACTACCGACCCTTGTATCTTATCTTTAATGGGAATACTCTGGGCAGTGCGAACGTGATTTCTTTCCTCCTTGATAAATAATGCCAACCCCTGTTGGTTCAGTTATCTCAGATTTATTTTACAAGTGATCTGTGTTTTTTTGTTTTCTTTTTCAACCTCTGTAAAAAGACAATCAAAATGGTTAGGCCTAAAATTAGACTCCCACGAGCTGTGTTTTGGATCAAGGTTGTTCACGTCACGTTTTTTCCCCTGCTCTGTTTGACTCTTCCGCTCTTGCAAGTAGGCAGGATATTGAAATGTAGAAGAATTTGCTCTGGGGGTTTTGTTGTTGTACGGTTATTCACAAGAATAACATTAAATAAAGTTAGATTGGGATGAGGACGTGAATGGCAATTTTTAAAGCAGGTTGGAACTTGTCAACTTTTCCAGGAGCTCCGTGGCTTTTGTAAATCACACTCATAATCCCTTCTATATATTTTGTGTGTATCTATGAGAAAATACATATCTTAAGTGAAATGTTTGTTCATGTTCTCCTCTTAAGGGTATTGATTTAAGGCAACTCTTAAATCCTTAGTTTTTCTATCTTTCTAGTTTTAACTAGCCAGAAACAATAGACTTACATTATGAAAAATGAACCTTAAAATGTTTCTGACCTGTAACATATGTAGGTCTTAAACCCACTTTCAGGTTTTGGTGAAAGAGTTTGACCTAAATTTAGTGTTTTTTCAGGACTGTAATTCTGGTAGCGTCAGTTGTCCTTAATTCATTGAGAGGTCTTCTTGGCCTAAGGGGTTAAGGTCTAGAAATGTTGGAGTGTGCAAGTAGATGTGTTGATGTCAGCTTCTCTGCCAGTGCTTTCTATAAGCAGATACTTTCACTGAGGAAGAGTTCTGAGTATTCTGCTTCTCTTAGGGCCCTGATTCCAGTTTACAATTATTCAGAATTATTCTTCTGGACTTTTGATATTAAATGCTAACCTTGCAAACCCAAATTCATGAAGTTGTAATTGTAGAATGTCTACTAAACAAATGAATAGGGCTTCCTGTGAGTCTCTAGTCTTTATGGTGGGCGGATTTCCAAGCAGACATGGTTAGCAGTGGTGTATGTATCTTTTCAATTATAGTTGTTTTTTTTTTTTTCTAAGAGAAAACTTGGAACTTGTTCGTGTAGCTGGGATAAACTTTCTGTTATTCTTTTTTTTTTGGCTGTGTTGGGTCTTCATTGCTGCAGTTGGGCTTTCTCTAGTTCAGTGAGTGGGGGCTGCTCTCTAGTTGAGGTACGCAGGCTTCTCATTGTTGAGGAGCAAGGGAGCTTCAGTAGTTGTGGCTAGCCGACTTAGTTACCCTGAGGCATATGGAATCTTCCTGGACCAGGGATGGAACCTGTGTCCCCTCCCTTGGCAGGTGGATTCTTTACCCTTGGACCACCAGGGAAGTTCTCTATTCTTTTTTAGAAGAGAGAGACCTTGTTCAAAGCTTGGGATAAAATAGGTAGATACTGTTAAATTCTTCCTATGTTTAATCTGTCTATATTGATTATTCTAGTATTTGATTATAACATTTCTTTTGGCTTTCTGAATTTTCTATTTTTGATTAAAATGTGAAACTGTACCTTGTTTTCAAGTCTTTAAGTCTTTGGGATTCTGATCAATTTGTTTTTAAAAGCTCTTGCAGTTAGTTACAGGGCTAATTCCAGACTAATCAAGGAGGGTGTTAAGTTACTCGCCAATCTGAGTTGTCCTTTGTATCCTTCTTGCTTCTTGGTAGAAGCAGAAAGAGATGCAAAAAAAAAAAAAAAAAAGGGAAAAAATATCCCTTGTTGTCTTGAAAAATACTGTTTTCTTCTGTGATAAGAATTGAGTGTCACCACTTCTTCATTTTAGGATCCCTAACCTGAATAAGAATAATCAGTCTGAATATTCAGGCCACATTTCAGAGGTCTAGTGTATTATCTCTAAGGTACATTAGTACTTGTCATTCCAGCTATCAAAAGTGGTTAGGAGCTGGAGACCTGGGTTTGAATCCTAGCTCTTGCACTTCACTCTGGACAAGATACACATTCTTTTCAGACTTGATTTTTTCAATCTATAAGATGAGGATTAATAATAATAACAGTATAATACAAATTTCATAAGGCTATTTGGAGCAAATGAGATAATACAGGGAAAATTACTTAACAAATGCTGTGCTTACATGATTAATAAGTGTTAGTTAATATTCCATTCTAAAATGTGTTTTATATTTAATTGCTTCGGCAACAGATGTTCTACCTAGAAACTTAGATTTAAGGCTGCTTTATAAAAAAAAAAAAAGACTGCTTTCAGAAAGTGGTTGGAATCTCAGGACCACGTTTTTGAGACCATAACTGTTAAAAATTACTTTTCAGGAAAAAAAAAGTTTCAGCAATGAAATCAAATATAGGTTTTTTAATACATATTTCTCAGATTTTAAAAGAGTTGTATTTCTCATAGAAAATTGAGAAAGTAAACTGTTAAGAAACAGGACAAAAATTACTGTACAAAAATCATTTAGCCCTTAGAGATAACCATAATTATAACAGATTAGAATAATGAGTTTTTCCCCCTGATTTTAAAATTAAATTTCAAAGGTAGTCAGTTCATGCTATCACAAAAAATTCAAGTAAGTTATTTAGAGTAAAAAGTGAATATTACTTTCCTTACTTTCTAGTCGCATTCCTTACAGGTACGCACTGTTAGCAATTTTGTTTTCTTCTATGCAGTTAGAAATAAGCAGTGTGTGTAATCTTACCTTGATTTTTTTTAATCAAAAATCTAATTGTTATAAATTCTTTTCCATCTCAGTACTTGTTATACCTCATGTTTTTAATGGTCATGCAATATTGTATTCTTTTCTTGTACTTATTTATGGTTATTTGTTACTTCCAATTTTGGGCAACTAAAAGTGGAGCTTTAGTGAACTTACTTATATCTTTGTGCACATGCATATGTATAGAAGTATTTCCATAAAAAGGATTCTTAAGTGTGCGTTTTAATAGATGACAAATTGCCTTCCGAAAAGGTTATACTAATCTATACTTCTTTATTGAATTGCAGAAGCTCTTTACACATAGTAGATATTAATCCTTTGTTTAAGAGTATCTTTTCCATTTTACCTTTATCAAAAAACAATTTCTATATTTTCTTCTGGTACTTATATTTATATTTATACTTATATTCTGGTACTTATATTCAAATAATTGTATTTGAATCTTAATACGTCAGGATTTTTATTTTTTTGGTGCAAAGTGGGGTAAGAGTTTGGCTACTGAAATAAAATATAGGTATGAAAATATTTCAGGACTTTGAGGTTGGTGTAAAAATTTGTCACATGATAGCGATTCAGAGAGGAATATTTTAATACTTTTATTGTAAACATCACATCTGAAAAGGAGGGGGAAATGCCGTCTTTTGGCTCCTAGTTCTTGGCATCTACCTAATTCATCCTCAGCCTTCAAATTTGAGCTTTTGAGTATAGCTTTCTTTGGCAGTCTTCTCTGATTTCTGGTATGATTTAGATATTCTTATTGCTTTTATATGTTTTCTTAACACATTGATCCATAATCTTTCTTTGGAATGTGCTGAAAGGGTGAGTTATTCACCTGGAAGTGAGAGTTAATATCTCAATTTTTGTCAATTGAAATGAATGAAAAGGTGCAGAGAACTCTAGTTTTGGTTAAAATTGAAACACATATATACATATGGGCTTCCCATGTGGCGCTAATGGTAAAGAACCCGCCTCCAGTGCAGGTTAGAGGTAACAAACTCTGGTGGGTTGGGAAGATCCCCTGGAGCAGGGCCCGACAACCCACTCCAGTATTCTTGCCTGGAGAATCCCATGGACAGAGGAACCTGGTGGGCTGCAATCCATATGGGGTCGCACAGAAACCCACTCCAGTATTCTTGCCTGGAGAATCCCATGGACAGGAGCCTAGCGGCTACAGTCCATATAGGGTTGTGCAGAGTTGGACCCGACAGAAGCGACTTAGCACAGCACATATATACATATGTGTTCGGGGCTCTTTTAACCTACAGTACTGAGTTCTTCCTAACATGTTTCTGATCACACTATTATCTTGTAGATAATATTTTTTCATCTACATATTTAATAAGTTCTGGGAAAATAGAGGTTTTATTTTAATCCTTATTTCATAGGTGCATTTTAAGGTATAATCTCAGCTTTTAAAAAATTAATTCCTATTCTTGGATTCCCT